ATCTCTTGTCAAATGACTCCGCAATCTCCACTGTCTTTGTATGGGTAGTCTACAGATAAACATTATCCTTTGACCCACAGTTCCACATGTACCGAAACGAGTGTTTCGCAAAAAAATACTGAGATTACTTCTTACAAGTTTTGCTATCCACCGACATTTTGACTTTGGCCTGCTTTTTACTCGAACAGACCCAAGGCGTCATCACCTAATAATTGTCAGAGCACTCGTGGTTTGGATAGTGCTTCTCTGACGGCCGGTCTAATACTTGCAGCGGATTTAAATAAGGTCAACCCAAGCCCTCAAAAGTCTATTTTTTTGTAGTTGACGTCCTCCCCTGGACAAGCATATTTTTTGTTCACTTTAATTTAAAGAGGAAATTTTGCAAGTCTCAATTTTCATCAATATTAGAGTTTCATTCCAAGAAGTTGAATAAAATCATCAATTGCGGTGGCTAAATCTTTCCATTTGGATGAAGTGGCCCATGAGACGAATACATTACAGCACAGGCATTTGCTGGAAATACTGTTTCTCAAACGTTTCATTCATGTTTAATCCACCTGCTGCATCCAGAGCTACATGGAACTAAGCAGTTTTTAGTTTCTTGGTGAGCGACGCCCTTAAAAACGCTCGACAGAGAGGAGAAATGCCTTCTCCCATAAAACTGACAGTCTCCAATGTATATTCCCCTAGAAAACAAGACAGATCGAGACGGTGTGCGTGCCTGCATTTTGAACTGACTGACAGAATTGAACGCCCATTAAACACTTTGCCCCCCTTTACCTAAATCAACGGTTCTGATTTCTGTCTTCCACACGCATGCCATTTTAAACAAAAAGTGGCAAAAGTTCGACATCTTGAAGGTCGCGGAGATTTGCATTAGACGCAAAGTTCTGCAGTCAGAACAGAGTTGTTTGTAAAAGCGCTTCCGAAATCGCCATATCCCGACTGAAGGTATCAGACGTGTGCCCACGAAATAGATGACGCTGCTGTCTCTAGATTAGGCATTTTTTCTGATTGATTGTTTCACGCTTTTCGGGTTGCGACGCAGACGAACCTAAGCATAGATAGAAATTAGCGTAGGAGTTCAAATTAACAGAAATGATGATCGCCAACGTATTATTCGAAATTCGTGCCGATTTGTGTCAGGACCTATGAATAACACATAGTGCGGTTTCTGTGGTCGCTTTCGTATGCATACAAGACTGATGTTTGAAATCCTGCTTCGTTTATAATTGTCGACCATGCGTGAATCCTGTTGGGGTGCATTCATCACATTCTCGACTTATCTTCGTTTCTGATTTAGGGCGACAAATATGTAGGAACTCGTGTACTGCGCCACGTTTTCTCGCGAAGAACACTTAACAAACTGTTCTCTCAGACGTTCTACTGAGTAGGGCGTCCAGAATGAACAGGCACGCTCTCTTCTCACATTAAAAAGTAAAGGTTAACAGTGTGTGAGTTTTATTAACTCTATCCAGCGGGGTGTCTGAATCAAGTATCGTGTTTGCCATTAAAAAATATCGGGCAGAGGAACCAACGTCCTTAATAACTGCCTAGACCTGGGTCTTCTCTACTGTTTCCATGAAGACGTCCACCAGTAGGATTCGAGGGTTGATACCACTGCTAGTTTGTTGACTTGACGGTAGAATGCAACATGGGATCTGGATTGAACTTTCGTTGTGCGGCAAAAGAGCAGTTCATTTTTGGCTACGGCGTTTATGCCATTTTGGAAAACCTGCTTAACACTTGTCACGCCAATATTCTGTCATCTCCGTCAGGAAAATGTTAGTAAAGAAAGACGATACATCTAAGGGTAATATTATGTTTCCTTTGAGATTCGTATTTCTTACGGAATCGATAAATCCACCTGTCCCATGTGCTTCGCGGTGCTATTTTGCGTCGAATCCACGTAGATGTCCCGGTTGGCCATTTCAAAGTTGTGAAATAAGACTAATTGCACATGTCTAGGTTCAAGCTGCAAAGGAATTCGTGAATCTTTGGTAAACCTTACGGCCTCGGATGGCTTATGTCACTGGCTTAACAGATTCGAACTCCTGTGTACTAAGGAAATCCGGACCTATCAGTTTCCAAGGGCACGATATGAGTTAGACTTCTCTGATCTCGGTTTGCTACTTATCTTGTTCCTCTCTTCTGATCTTATTCTCGTCGGTCAGGATCGGCTCGGTTTTCGAACTATACACACTTTATCCACTAACACGAGACCAGGATACGTATAGGGTATGGTAACGAGTATTTCCCCGTTTTTGTTGCGACGGCTTGGTCTTTTCGAAATGTGCACTTGGGATATGCCCAATTCTTATCGGTTTTGTTCTAAGGAAGAGTGCTGCAACAATTCACAATTGTGGATTCGATTTGCTCAACTTCCTCCGGCGTTGTAGTTACTAATTCATGCTAAAGCGATTTACAACCTTAATTACTGCCACTAAGTTGTTTGTCTCTGATTAAGAGAACAGAATCGATGGCTTAGGAATAGTAATTCGATCAATTCTTTTTTGTACGTTAGGAATGCATGATTGTATATGTAACACTTCAGAGCTTTTGGAAAACTAGCCTGCGCGACCATCGCACTGCAAAAGAGTTCTATTCATTTCTCCCCTATCCATCTTGTTGCCAAAGTATGAACATCTCTGCTAAGCTGTCGTCGTCCTCTAACAGTCAATTAGTCTATTGCTGCCATATGTTGATACAAGCTACAGGATACCTCGCTGATATGCTTCATGATACTTCTAATCAGTTTGTAACAGGTCTCTTTAGTGGTTTATTTCGGACTACCGTCACATTCTTGTGAATTGACCTATAGTTCTCATGAGGATTCCCGCCTCTCACGGTGCCCTGTACGGTGGAAGCAGAAACAGCAATCAGTTCGGCAAGGCGAGAGCTGTAACGTATTCAATGTGTGACCTGAATACCAAGGTGTACTTGGACCCTTCTAGCAGATTTATTCATGGAAGCAATAGAGAATATCCAAATCTAGGCTGTTACCAAGGCCTTCGATTTCGGTGCTCTATATTCTGTAGTACAAGATGAGAAGTTTGATTTGGACCTCCCTCTGGATAAAATGAACGAAACGCACCCAACGTTAACCTTCACTATGCAAAGAGAGAAGAGAGAGTACCTGTTCATTCTGGACGCCCTGTTTAGCAGAACGTCTGAGGTAATAGTCCGTGAAGTTTAATTTGAGAGAAAACATGGCCAGGGTGGTACACGCGTTGGCGCAGTTCTTTACCCCTAAGTGAAAAATGTGCATTATACTTATGCCTGGCCAACTTACCTAGGCAAATATGAACTCCGGATAGGCTGCAGAATGAACTTCCACCTATACGAGACGCTCTGAAAAAGGTGATTTTACTGAAGACTTTATCATTAGATGTTTGGAATAGCAGCTGCCAACAACTGAAGAGGCGTAATTCGTAGTTATATTGATGTTCTGAGGGAACCTGGTCAACGAACGTTTACGTCATGGCTTGAATTCTACCACTGTGCGCACTTGCCCAACCACCAAGAAAAGGTCAATTTTTTCAAGTATTGAGCTTCCACGGCTTGATGGCAAGGAAAGGCTGTCCTCTCAGATTTCTTCAATGGGCATCTATGCCTTCGCATGCTCCTGTAGAGCAGGTTATATCGGCCGAACAACTAGACGCCTATTCAAGCAGATGACGGAGCACCGTCCTGCCTAGCAAAATCAGAGCATGGAAAAGTTCATCTCTAGCTCAACTGTGACTCATTTGATTGACAGCGGGAACCGGTTAGACGTCAATCAAGCATATTGAGTCATATATAAAATTCCGGCGGGGTACTCCAAATTCCTGCGCCAGAAGATACTTGCGACGGCAGGAGCAGTGACCACACGATTAGTTGCCATAACCTTCTGTTCAAAAAAGCGTTCGTTCAAGACCTTAAGCAGCCCTGACCCAAGTTAGAACCCACATGTTCGTACCCGTATCCTGCGGCGTCGCTGTGCAACGTCGAAAAAATAGAACGTACTGACAGACACCCTATTTTTCCCTCCCCCATACCCTGACAGAAAATGATTACTTATGGTATCTAACGCGTACCATCACCTTCACCCCTCTCTCATCCCCATCTACTATTAAATAGCTGTTGTATACTTTCCATGTACCACTGTATGTTATTTCTGTTACTGTGTACGCCTGATGGTAAATATTCGAAAACGTGTGCTTGCAGAATTTGACTTCTTTAAACTATATTCACTTGAATGGATGACGCAATTGAAAACATTTTGCTCATCGGAGCTACAATCAGTAAACCAGACCATGCGCATGCAATCCACAGTGCTTATAACCTTACAGGAATTGAGGAGAAACGGATCAGTCCAGGTTTTTGGTGCACGCCTATCACTTTGATGTCAGACACTCTTTCCTACTCTTGTTGCATCAAGTGATATTACGCGATGAGCGTTGTGTTTCTAGCCAGAGTATCCTGACCTGAGCTCTACCACATTGACGCCTCCTTGATGGTGTTCTGTTATGTATGCAAAACAAAAGGCGGGTTGTAGACAGAACGTGTAGTTAGAACGGGAGATGACACAAGTGGGAAGTCTTGCGGGTGGGTATATGGCATGGGGGACGAATTTCGTAGGCTGAAGGATGGTCAATTAATACTAAGGTGGTCTGATCAGGGGTACATGACCTTGACAGTTCACTTGTCGCGCTCATGTGGCGTGATGTCTAGACAGCCCCGGCAGCATACGCTTCAATGTATCAAAATAAAAATGTAACAAAACAGAGTATTCCATATTTTCTCTAGAGAATTTGTTTTTGTTTACACTCACTTTCACAAAACTCCTCTACCCCATCTCGAGGGGTATACTGCCCAAGGTAGACGTTGTATTGGTCACTTTAATTCAAGATGGAATCAGGAATAGTTGCTCCCTGGCCTATAGTGTCTAATCATTTGATTTGGAAGATGAAGATGCGACCACCGGAACAAGAAATTTATTTGCCTGACGTTTCGGATCCTTACTCGAATCCATCATCAGAGACCTTAGCAGATAAAGGTGATTGTGGCACCAGGAGTGCAGTATTTATAGCACGTGGCTGCCGTGGGACCGCATGCGCACTGCAATTAACAGTTCTCGTAATCACCGCTGGGACCGTAATTGATGCGGTGGTGGCTTGTCGGTCCGAGTCTGAGTCGTTAATGGCCGCGATTTCGTCATCCGTGCTGGATGCTGGTGTGACGATTGCTCGGCAAACTGGCTCACTGCCACCGTGATGATTCCTCGCCCGCGCCCTCCCCACGTGACTGATCCTCCTGCCCAGGGAAAATCGCAGTACGCTATAGGGCACCGGGAGGTCATTGTGCTTGTTGATGGATTGCGGGCCTGAGAACCATGACTCGAGCAGCTCGCGGCTCACGCGGTTGTCACCCCTTGCGAGGATTTCGGCCTCTTGAAATTTGAAAAGATGGCCGGGTCCCGTCGAGTGTGCCGCCACTTGAGAGTTAGCGTCTCCCCGCCTCACCGCTGCTGCGTGCTCGGCAATTCGCATACGGAGTAATCTCCCAGTTGCTCCGACATAATTGCTTTGTCCGCAACTACACCAGATCCGGTAAATGACTCCAGTCGTGTCCTGCCGTGGCAGCGGGTCTTTTGGCCTCATTACTTGGCGCCTAATGGTTGCTTCCGGCCTGTGTGCAACCCCAACTCCAAGTGGAGTGAGAAGACGATTGACGGCTTCCGAGACGTTCTTCACGTACGGAAGAGCCCGCCAAAATTTGGGTCCGGTTGGATTTGGTCTCTGGTGTCCTTTTCGTATGCACTGGTTGACAAAGCTGCGCGGGTAACCATTGGCTCTCATTACCCGTCGAAGATATTGTAGTTCAGCAACCTTGTCTTCCATTTCACTGCAGTGCGTCTCAACGCGCCGGTATAGCGCCCTTACGCAACTGCTTTTGTGACTGATCGGGTAGTTGCTATTGAAGTTCAGTATTTGCGTCGTATTTGTCGCTTTCCTGAACACTTTGGTTTTTAGGCCACCACAATCTTTGCGGCAGACGAGGACATCCAGGAAGGCCAGCTGATTGTTTTCCTCCTCCTCCATCGTAAATTGGATGTCCGGGAAGACGGCGTTGAGTTGTTCTTTGAACGTCAGCACCTGATCCCGTTCGATGACGACGAAGGTGTCATCCACATACCGAGCCCAAAATTTCGTTCTGTGGTGTCGGAAAACCAGCGACTCCAGCCGTTGTAGGACCGCCTCGGCTATGAGTCCCGAAATCGGCGAACCCATTGGCGTTCCCTTCACCTGACTGGTGGGAAGTCAGTCCAGGAGTAAGGTTACTGGAGCTCACCTTCTGATTTTGTTTTCTTTCTGAGGTGTTCGATCTGTCAGGTGCTCAAAAAGAATTTAAAATGCGTGGGCTTGAAAGAGCAGACAAGGTTAGAGAGAGAGGAAATGCGCTTTATTTTGAAATCGTAAGTTCAAAATTTTCAGCAAAAAATTGGCTCCATTCACTGTGGGTAGTAAATAAGTTAAGAGATTATTCAACAGTCAAAGAAACGATTATTATGGGGATAGTTCAAGTCTGAGCTTCTGTATTTCTGTCTCTTCGCACGTAAGATAGCGCGCTAGGAAGGGCAATACAGAGGCTCGATAAGCCGATGTGCGACAGGGTATAAGACGGAAGTTGCGGCGCATCGGGCGGGAAGACTTGGCAGCCATAAGATCGGAATGTAGGGGATGGGCAACGTCATCTAGAATTCGACCAGCAAATTGCTTGACCGCATTGAAGAGTCGTTGTAAGATTGTGTCAACTAGAAAAATATGAGAAACGCCAGCAGCAGAAGAGAGCATGCGGAGGATTCGTTTCAAAATTAAAAGATCCTTTTTTAACAGAGCAGGAAAAACGACAGGAGAACAGTATAGGATAAGAGGAATAATGCAGGCATCAATGAATCGC